GAGTTGATGTCGACGTCGCGCTTTCGAGATCCGGGAGAAAGTGTTCCTCGGTTCATCCAACTGTCGCGATCAGTTCGACAAATGTCGATCGATACAAGAAGAAAATGAGGAAAACGATGAAAAATTGTTGTTTTTATTGCGTAAATTCAACCAGAGAAGTTGGATCCAGGTTAAATTGCGGGCAATCGTGAAACATTGGCTACGAATGTGTACAGCATCGAGCTGTGTTCAGTTACGTAATCCGGATTTTCCACCCTCTCTCTCGTAACCCTCTGGGTTTTACGTGCGCCAATTTATGCGATCTTATGCAGTGAAATCGTCATTGAATTACCTTTGCGAAAGTTTCTGGGAAAACCAGCAAGTCGGAGGAATGTTCCAATTACTTCATACTGTCAGAATATAAATCGAAATGTTCAATTCTTCTCATGGAACTTTTTCACGGATTTCACGACTTATCAGAAACTTATGATTTCTGGGACAATCTTGCGTTCACTGACACACGGTTTACATTTCAATCTTCAGCGACGAAGATTACGAATTGCGGATTACGTACGACAGGTCGAAGCGCATTGTTATTCCACGTGCGTCATCTTCGTATCGGCTGAAAAGAGTTTCGTTAGCAACCCAAGTGGAGAAAGCAGGCTGCGTTTACACTTTCGATTTCGATGCACGTTTCAGGAAGCGGAGGAAGGGTACAGATATACTCGAACAAAGCTTCGATTTTTATGAGTTGATGTATATTTGATATGGATTAAACGTTACGTGATGCATCAATCGGGACTTATCGGTGCACGATACATGAGGAGAGATGATTGGTGAGGCAGGAAGTCGTTTTCTCCGTGTTGGTACAGGCTGGACTCGTCGAGCCGCGTTACCACCTGAATCCAACGACGAGCGACGATTCACGGTTCACGGTGCTAGTAGATAATGCGATATCCGTGCTGTTCGATCGAGTAAGTGGAAGGTGCTGCTGCTGCTGCTAGTTCGAGCGCTGGTAACGCGTAAGCGTACGGCGACACCTGAAATGGAATCGAAGTTACCTCGAGTGCGTGAGAGAAACTCGCAGAGATGCCTTGTGCTCAGTCGAGCATGAAGTCTTCAGAGTCCAAGATTCTAAGGCTCACCGATTTTTATAGAAACGTAAATTTTAATATTTTATTGGACGTGACGATACGCCAGATTTTCCACGAAAACTAGCAGAAGGAAAGAGAGAGAGAGAGAGAGAGAGAGAGAGAGAGAGAGAG